AAAAGCCTAAACAAGTGATGAAGGTCTAGGTAGGGTTGTTATGATATAACAAGGATGAGACAAATAATATAGAAATAATCTTAAATTTTCTAAGGTCATAGCTTAGTCAACTAGTTTAAGGGTGTCTCATCAAGATTTATTTTAAAATGTTTGGGTTTTGCCGAAGCGTTATCTATATGGCACATGGTAATTAAAAGTACCAGATTGGTGTAACTAACCTTCTTGGATGTTTAACATACATACCTTGAGATCTATACTAATTGGGTCAGAGGGACACAAAGGACACTTTTTGCTCCTTGCCCTCCTAGGTCAATTAGTTCCCAGGGACTATGAGTATCTCGCAAAACGTCCTGTAAATGTGGTGGGTCATCTGACCTCTTGATCAAGGAGGCCAAGGAAACCCCACCAGATGGACTTGAACCAGTGTCCAGTCTATAAAGCCCAGGTCAAACAGGACCTTTTGACTTATCTTCACATAGATGGAACTGGTAAAAGAAAAGCCTGAGGATCCAGGGGCTTCCCCCAAGCCTATGTGATCCCTGAGAAACAGATCCTCAAATGACCTTGAAAGTAATAATAAATTGGTTTATTTGGGCCAACTGTATAGTCTTAAATACCCAAAAGGAAAGTATAACCAAAGATTAAAGTCATCAGCATATTTTGTTAAAAGTTCAAGGGATTACACATCCCAAACATTAGACTTAAATTCTTATAAGATGTTATTTAGACAATTATTTCTCATTGATGATTTGTTCCTAGTAAGCCAATGCCACTTAGCTCTAAGACTTCAATTCTTGGTCTGCAATACTGTAGTGCCCACCTGCAGCTGAGGGAAACAACCCACTATTGTTCTAAAATGATGGCTAAATTTGTTTTCTCTCCCTATCTAGAGGCCACTTAGAGGGAGCTGATTCTAGTCACTCCAACAGTTATCAAAGTGCCTGATAACAAATCCTGAGTTCATCAATCATCAGTCTAGCCTTGGCAGGCAAAAGAAAAATGAGGAGGAACCCGTTAGATGGATGCTTTTGAAAGCCCTCATCAAGAAATTCCAATGGACTTTAATTTAGACATTTTCTGGTTCCCTGCCTAGAAACTGTAATACTAACTACTCTTGCCTTTACTTTTCCTTCACATCTCTTAGGCACCAGTCAAGCACCTTACTTTTTTCCCTATAGTTAAGAGTTATGCAATTTGGGAGTCTTTTAGATAGATCCACTGAAGGGGGTACCCCAATTGCCTCACCCTGCATCCTTGTTCAGCATGGAAGAAGCCAGAGTGGTCTGTGTCCCAATTCCCTATTGGCAATTTGGGTAAGCCACTTCAGAGGGTGGTATGATAAGAATAGGAGATAGAAATTGGCTAGGCAGCTAGGGTAAAAAGACCCCAAAGAAAAGTAGCCAGTTTCTTTCTTGGCTAAAAGTCAAAATGTCCTTGGGCCTTTTAGCAAAGTACTCTGGCCCAAAGGCCAAAAACGTTAAAAGTATTTGGGAGCTCTGATCCCAAAAAGATTTTGAGGTTACCTCTTCACTGGGGGCAATATTACAATATCAATTAGCCCCCTTATTATGCTATAAGTTATCCTGATACTTGCTCCCCTGTTTCATACAATTTCTTCACCAACAAATTACTACCATTGCAAAAATTACTACCAATCAGGTCATGGTCAATTATCAGACCTTGGATTCTCCCGATATAGATGAATTGGCTCTTAAAGCTTGTGATGACACTTCTCCATTATAAAACAATACAGGGAGAGATGTTGGGGGACCCTGCTGCTAAGGTTGCAGTCCACCATGTCTGGATAGCTCTAAGGAACTCGGTGCTGTATGGAGGACTCCCTTTCTCAGCGGGTGCTTCCTGATCTCTGCCTGACCTTATCTGGAAAGTGTCTCCAAGCACAGATGCCTGGCCTTATTTGGAACATGACCTTGGCATAGTTGCCTGCAAAAAACTTCCCTTAGGTGTTTTCTTTATAACAATTAGGCATTGCACTATAGCCAGATGATAGGGTCCCCCTCTGACATGTAAATAAAGCATACTATGAGCACCTATCAGGTGAAGCTTTGGCTACCATCTCCACCCTATATTTTTCCCTGGCCCCCACTGAATAAATGAGCTGTATCACTGAAACTGACTTCTGGAGGCCTTTTCCGTCCATGCTCACTGGCCATCCTGACCCCGTTCGTTGCTTCTGCTCCCTTTGTTCTCAATGGTCGGTGGCCAACGGCCCACGAGGGGAGGGAGAGAACCACGCTCCTGTTGGTCAGCACTGTGTTCATCAAGGTAGCTAGCCAGTGAGCTTCCAAGCATTTTCCTGTGTCCACCTCCCCTCACACAGCAGGAGCATGGAGATTACAGACACATGCTATTGCACCTGGTATTATGTGGGTTCTGGGGATCTGAACTAAGGTCTTCATACTTGCTCAGCAAACACCACACCCACTAAGCCACCACACCCAAGCAGAAATATGTTTTTGTTTTTCCCACTCCATATCACCCACAATGCCCAACCTAATAATAATAATTAATAACAACACAATGTGTGATATGGGGATTCAGGGAAATATTTAATAATTATATTTATTATGTTTAAAATAAATATTAGTCCATATTGATACAAATAAATGATTGAATGAATAATAAATAGGAGTAGGGGACAATTCTTGTTTCAGAAAAAGTCCTATTAGTGAATGTAAAAGAAATGAAGGCAAAGAAAAACAGTATTTCAACACCACAGTCACAATTCCTGAAGGACAATGGATGCTAAATTGGTGGAAATAGTTTCATAAGATAGTTGCATAGCCTTAATGCACCCCTTCAAAAAATTTTATTCAGTGCAGTGGTGATTTTAACATAAGTTCATAAATTCACATTTGTCCCCTGGATGGACTTGATGTTACTTAACCTTCACCTAAAGCATAGGCTGCACTAATTAATTCCTTCCAAAATTATGCAGCATGGACTACAGAAAAGAGGGAATGGTGATCTTACAGCACAGCATGACAGTGGCTTCACCTTGACCACATGATGAAGGCCGCCATCCCTGTGATGCTAATATGTGTTCTTGGTTGATGCAGGGAGGGGATCCATGCCTTTCTTCCTCAGAACTGATCCCTTCTGGTCTAATCTGGAGGAAACATCAGACAAGGCCCAAAGCATGAATAATTTGACACAGTAGCTGATCAATACTGTTTAATAGTATAAGAGTCATGAAACACAAGAAAAGACCAAGAAACTTTCACAGATAGAAGGAATCTAAGGCGACATGACAGCTAACCTATATGGTATGAGCTGAAGTTCTCAGAAGAAGTCACTTCTGTGTTGAGTATCTTGAAGACTGCCTATTAGAACTTAATGATTATGAAGAGTCAGAAGGCTACAGATCTAGGGCCACAATTATCCTAATCCCTTTAATAAAGCCATTTACTACTAACCTTAGTATCTGACCTAAAATCTTTCTGAATATTAGATACAATTTGTGGACTGTGTTACTTAACAGACTATTAGCTTCCACCAATCTTAAAGATAACGATGTTATGAGATAGCATTTGAAACTTTATAGAAGAAATTTCTCCACTTTACTATAATTTGTAAATATGTGGATTAATGATATCAAGATGGGCATTTAACAAATGAGACTTTGGGAGACATTCCAGATCCAAACTATAGTATATCAAGGTGAGGGTACAGATTTGCTCTCTGTACTGAGATACCTTGTGATTCTTCCCCAGGAAAAACAAGTGAGAAGTAGATATTTTATGTGCCTCCCAAGTTAATGGATTTGAAGATTTTATTTTTATTTTATGTGTATGATGTTCTCCCCAGTTTATAAGTGCACCATTTGCATGCATTGCCTGTGGACTACAGAAGAGGGTATCAAAATCCGTGGAACTGCACTTACAGGCAGTTGTTAGCCACCATATGGATGCTGGGAAACTAACCTGGGTCCTCTGCAAGGGCAGTGGTCTTAACTGCTGAGTCATCTCTCCAGCCTGATGCTTCCCAATTGAAGAACTAATAGTGTTTGAAATAATTTTAATTAAAAGAGCTTTAACTATATATATATATATATGGTATATATATACATACATATGCACATATATATTTTGCACTGTAGTAAATGAAATCTTAGTTTAGTATGGCATATTTGCAAATACAAATTCCTCCATTACCCCTATAGCCATTGCTGCAGTGAGACCACTGGCTCCCCAATCAGCCCCTGCCTTTTCACGGTTTCTTAAATTGTTAATATTTCCTCATTTTTTCCTTCTCATTCAATGTTTAACGGTCAGACATACCAGGTGTCTCATCCACAAGATTCCAACTATCTAAGTTGCTCTGTCTTGCTGTGGTTTCTGGAAACTTTCTCTGTGTATATTTATTTCCAGAACACAGGTGGGTTAATTGGACCCATAATGGGTCCCCTCTATCCAAAGTTTCACTTTTCAGAGTTTCACATCCCTGTAGTAAATGTGATCTGAAAATAGCAATCGTAGGATTCCAGAAATAAATAACTCCTAACTTTTTGTACCTCAAGAGAATCATGATGAGTTCTGGTGAGAAGGTTAAGCAGTAGTACTGCCAGAAAACGCAGGCTTAACCACCATAGTCCAGTTGCAGGAAGCCACCACATAAAGGTGGAAGGAGAGAACAGACTCTACATAGCTGTCCTCAGACCTCCACACATGTAACATAGCACGGATACCATAGCATGCACGAACACCTCCTTCCTCCCTCCCTCCCTCTCTCTCTCTCTCTCTCTCTCTCTCCCCTAAACAAACACAGCAGCATGATGCTGTTCTGCACTCTCAGCTGTTACATAAGTCATGCCTTTGCCCGGTGTCCACACTGTATAGCCTCCCAGCTCATTCTCAGTGCTCTTCTCCACTATCAGACCAAGGGCTGGCCCACACGACGCCTGTGCTCAAATAACCCTTATTCCGAACAATAAAGCACTTTTTAGTACAACAGGTTGTGATTTAATTGTTCTCTGATGTGCCTGATTTACAGGTTAAACTTCAGAGAGAGAGAGATCAAAAACATAACATATAATTTAGAGGATTTGGTACTATCTGCAATTCTGGGATCCCCTAAGGGTTTTGGAACAAATAGGATGTGGGGGGGGGATAAAGAACGATTATTATACTATGAAATATGTTTGATTCCTTGTGATAAACTCTGAGAAAAGGAACACAAGAAAATACGTAATTAGAAACTTCGACTGTGCCCCAATCTTAAAAGGTTCATGCAACTGCCAAGAAATATAAGTATGGCTGTGTTTAGTACCGTCCACTGGTTCTTCCAAACTCACACCCTTATGCAGCTCCTAGCCTGAAGAATAAAGTTTCCATCCAGTGACGGTGCGCACATGAAGGACAGCCATCTCAGACCATCCCCTTGCCACACGCCCCCAACAGCAGGGATCCAACTCACAGAGCCCCGTGACCCACAGGCCCCGCCCCTGCCCTGGAGAGCCCAGCTCCCCCTTCCCTGGCAGCTTCCCTGCCCCGCCCTGCTGGACCTCAGGCGGGATCTGTCCCCGAGGCTGCGCACTAGGGCCCCGAGCGGTCCAATCAGCAGTCTGCCTGCTGGAGGTGTGTGCACGCAGCTCCGCCTCCACTGCTCAGACCCGGCTTCCTTTGCCCTCACTCCACACCCTCCTCTGCATCATGGGGCCTGGGCCGCGCACCCTGGAGCTCTTCTACGACGTGCTGTCCCCCTACTCCTGGCTGGGCTTTGAGGTGATGCGGGGAGTCGCGGGGCGGTGGCCTGCAGGGCCAGGGAACAGGAAGCGCGGGTGCAGGGCACAGGGAAAGGCTGCAGAGAGTCCTGCTGCTGCGCTCAGGGTCAGGACAAACAGAGAACATTCCAGGGCCAAGGGTCGCTTTGTACCTTTAAAGGGGTTAGTGTCTGGGGCCCCAAGTACCGCACTGAATTCCTGGCCTAAGTATTTCTAAGCAAAATACAGTCTCTTTCCTCTTAGAAGGACAGGGCAACTTCAGAGAAATGAGGACAAGTTGGGGCAGGGGCTGAGGTGCACAGCAGGATGGAAACCAACAGAGAACATTCCAGGGCCAAGGGTCGCTTTGTACCTTTAAAGGGGTTAGTGTCTGGGGCCCCAAGTACCGCACTGAATTCCTGGCCTAAGTATTTCTAAGCAAAATACAGTCTCTTTCCTCTTAGAAGGACAGGGCAACTTCAGAGAAATGAGGACAAGTTGGGGCAGGGGCTGAGGTGCACAGCAGGATGGAAACCACAACCAGAGCAAAGATTCTGGGAGCGATTTCCAGGAGCCATGAGTTTTGTCCTTTCAAACCAAAGAGTTGAGTGTGCAGTAGTCACCCCAGGTCTGCCCTGAGAGCCGGCAGACAGCTCCCACTGGCTCCATCAGCCACACCTGCTCACTTCCTATTTCTGCACCCACAGGTTCTATGCAGATACCAGCACCTCTGGAACATCCAGCTGCAGCTGCGGCCAGCCTTCTTGGGAGGGATCATTAAAGACAGTGGTAGGGAAGAAGAAACCGTTAGAGTCAGGCAGGGAGGGCTCCTGGGAGGTCGGATTTCTGTGTCCTGGATTTCTGTGTCCTGGGGGGCTGATTACACTGGTATACTGACATCTGCAGCTAGTAATTTACTCTACCTGACACCCCGGAAGGGACTCCAAGCCTAGGACCCTCAGGTCTGTGACCAGCTGTTGAACTCTTCACTGCCAGGAAACAGGCCTCCAGCTTTGGTTCCCCGCAAAGCCCAGTACATGGCAAATGAGATTCCTCTCCTGAAACAGCATTTCCACATCCCCATCCACATGCCCAAGGACTTCTTTGGTGTGCTTCTTAAAAAAGGTGAAGGTCAGGAGCAGCGGGGAAATCTAATGTAGGGCAGAGCACTTGGGACTTTAAGAGCTAGGTAGGAGGGGCTTGCTTGGGAAATTAACAAGTGAAGCTTCTATGCTGGGAAACCCAGCCCCTCATAGCCCAGGAAGCCAAGGGGTGTGTGTGCTGGGGGAGGAGGGGTTGGCATAGAGGAGCGCCGAGCAGGGCAACTTGGTTATGAGAAACTGGGTGAAAGACTGCGAGTGGCTGAGCCTGTCAGAAACAAGGAGGAGCTGGTCCTCCACCAGGACACAAGGAACAGGAGTCCTAGGTCTAACTGCCTCTGCCCCACAGGAAGTGTAAATGCCATGCGCTTCCTCACCACTGTGAGCATGGAGCAACCAGAGATGCTGGAGAAGGTGTCAAGGGAACTCTGGATGCGAGTGTGGTCTCGAGTAAGGACTGGACTTTGGGGGTCATAGGGAGGCTGGGTAGGGGCAAGTTGATGACCTGACCCTTCCCAGGCCAATGTGCAGATGTAAGATCCTGCTCGTCACTACTGCCAAGCCACTGGAACTGCCACTACCTTCCTGCTGAGTGTTCTCTTCTTCTTAGGATGAAGATATTGCTGAGCCCCAGAGCATCCTCGCTGTGAGTGTCTGGACCACACACCCCACATAATTCAGAGAAGCTGAGAACAGTGGGCCTCTCAGAAGGGAGAGAGCCAGAGTTTACACAGGGAAAGGGATTTAGAAAGAAAGAATATCTGTGTTAGATGACAAATTATTATAAAGCTGGAACTAAGAATTCTTCAAAGGATGTCTCATTAGCTGGGGTGTAGCTCAGGTGTAGAGTGCATGCTTCATCTGCCTGAGGCCCTGGGTTCAATCTCCAGCAAAAACACAATAATCTATTATAGTCGACACATGGATAAAATGTGTTTGGTGAAAGAAGTCAGTGGCAGAGAGATGACCAGCGTTGGAACCCTAGGTTGGCAGGGAGGGAATATTCACAAGTCTGGAAAGACTCCAACACAAAGCTAACATATACACATGCAAGATAACCGGCTAGTGGCAGAATTCAGTAGCTGCTCAGTGAGAACTGAAAGGAAAGTGCTCAAAACACTGAAATGCATGTCACAGAGAGAAGGGGCCTTTAAAAGTAAGGCGTTCTTTGCCATCAAGTCAGGAAACGCAAAGCAGTCTCCTCCAGCTTAAGAGGAGAGTTGAGGCATATCCACCTTTAGTACATGACATGGCAAGTCACACCAAAGGAACTATGCAAAGAATGGCCAGTGCATCCTCTAGGGTCAGGATCCAGTTCCTGCAAAGTCTGTATATGCAAAATGTAGCCTGCTTTATATGTGAAACTGAACACATTTTAAACAAGCCACTTGAAACTTTCTGAAGGCATAGTTACTTGTTTCTACACAGCATTACATTCAGTGGCCATAGGCCTTCCCCTCTTGTTGAACGGCTCTCTGATTTAACTATCAGACACAATGGTTCTTAGGAGGTCAGGTTGTATGTAGCTTCTCAACCTGAGCCGTGCATGGACACCACCAGGAGTGCCCGGTGTGACCTGAGAGACTCTTGTCACCTTCTAGGGAATGGCCTTCAAGGTAGGACTTTTAAAAATACCTGAGGAGTTTTGAGATTGAAGAAACATGACTCTAAACTTTAACAAGTATTGCCATCAGAATCCCTTCTCACAGGCTAGAGGTCCAGCAGGAGGCTGCAGCCATGATTTTGTCCCAGCAATCCTCAGGTAGCCCATGAGACTCGGACCTGAGCCCTTGATTCAACACAGACTGAGGTATTTAGGACTTCTGAAGGATAGGAAGAATTCCAGGGATTTGGAACCTAGCCTTGCTACTGACAAACCCTGCACCTCTAAAGTCAGGGATTTAATGACCACTGACTACAGTGTTCTCACTTGTGAAAGGAGAGGTGAGGCTAGCTGCTCTCTAAGGTGCCCTCCAGCACTCTGTTTCTGTGACAGTGACTTATTCATGTCCCCTGCACTTTGCTCATCTCAAGACTTTGGGGGAAGGATAGACAGCCTGATATTTGTGGATAGGCAAAAGCTTTGCCAGAAAATCTTGAGTTAGGAAAGAATAGAGTTTTCTCCTGATCTCTTGTCTCCACAATGCAGACATAACTGCTTCATCTACCTTCTCCCCCACCCCCCTTTCAGGCTGCAGAGAAGGCAGGTTTGTCCGCAGAGCAAGCCCGAAGCTTTCTGGAGAAAATCTCCACAGCACAGGTGAAGAACAAGCTCAAGGAGACCACTGATGCAGCCTGCACATATGGGGTAAGCAGCTCCATGCATATGCCGAAGCCCCAGCCAGAAAGCAGAGAATTAGTGTCACCATAGGTCCTCCCATCATGAGTTCCCCAGGTCTCCTGAACCACCTCTGCAGCTCCCTTCCTCTCCCTGAGCCCAGTAGAGACAGGGAGAAGGTGGATGGTGATTTTAAAAATAATAAATAAATAAATAATAAATAAATAAATAACAAAGTAAGAGTCTCTGTGTAGGTGAGTAGAGAAGGTGCCTGGGGCCAAGAAGCCTTTTACGCTCTGTCACCTTTCTCTAGGCCTTTGGGCTGCCCACCACTGTGGCCCACGTGGATGGTAAAACCTACATGCTGTTTGGCTCTGACCGCATGGAGATGTTAGCTTACCTGCTGGGTAAGTTCAAGTTTCCACTCTTTAAGCTTTTGACACCAGCCCCACCCCTATTATCTCCTGACTAGGAAAAAGCGTTCTTGGTATGTCCAACAAGCAAGCTGTGTACAGTCATAGTGCTGACCAAGGCTGAATGGGTGGGCATTCTTCTCCATAGTGGACAAAAACCCCCTCTAGATCTTGAAGCCAAGCAGGTCTCTTCCTAGAAGGTTCTGGGGCCCTGTGGGACCATCCCCTGCTGCCATCAACCTGAGAACAGTGTGCTGACTTCTGTGATTTTCTCCATCCAGGAGAAAAGTGGATGGGCCCTGTGCCTCCAACCCTGAATACTGGACTTTGAGATTGCCTGAGGAAGTAAAGCATTGGTGTAAATGAGCAGGCACCCGCCTATCCCTTCTCCTTTAAACCATACTTTGTACCTAGCAAGTTTACATATTAAATAACAGCATCTAAATTAATTTAATATAGTTTTACAGAGAAGATAAAAGATGGAAATTTTAGTTTACACCTTGTCCAAAACAATTTTCATATCACTTTTTCTAAGTGGCTTAATATCATAAATATTTTCAGTGGCTATTAATGTCTAATTCTTATTGTGCTAATGGTCAATGGAATTATAAAGAAATCCCACCTTACATAATTCCTGCGTCAAAGAGATGACATATATTGGTTTCTTGTGGAGTCCCTAAATAGTTCCGGCTTCCTTAATAAAGGAAAAGCTTTGTCCTTTTCCCTACATTCCATGTTCCTCAACATTTTCGTGCCTCTCTTGGCCCCCTTTCTAAATTTCAGACTGTCTACACTGCATTAGTCACTCTTCTGTTGCCGTGATAAGATATCATGACCAAAAGCAACTTAGAGGAGTGTATTTTGGTTCATAGTTGCAGAGGTAGATTCATAACGGCATGCCGACGGCCAGCCAGAGCAAGAAGCTAAGCAATCACAGCTTCCCGAGAGATCACACAGGAAGCAGACAGAGCGAGCAGGAAGTGGTGCAGAGCTACAAGCCCTCAAACTCCACCCCGTGTGCCCACCTCATTCATTTCCTCTAGAAAGGCTGCACTTCCTCAAATAGTGCCTCCAACTCGGAACCAAGTGTTCAAAATACATGAACCCATGAGAGACAATTTTTCATTGAAACCACACCATCCACATTTACACACACACACACACACACACATATATGCATTATAGGCTGGGATCCACATAGGAGCAAGAGCATGCAAACAGATTTCTTTCTGAGTTCGGGACCTGCTTTCCAGGTCTGCCAATTTTCCTGAAAATGTCGTGATTTCATTTTATCACTGAATAATATTCCATTTTGTATATGTGCTACATTTTCATTATTTGTTTATCTGTTTATGGGCATCTAAGCTGGTTCCATTTCCTTGCTATCATGAATTTAACAGCAGTGAACATGGATGTGTAAATGTCTCTGTAGTGGGATATGGAATCCTTTGGGTATATGCTGAGGAGTGGACTAGCTGGGTCACGTGGTAACTATTCTTTATTTTTTGAGGAAGCCCTAAACTGATATCCTCAATGGCTGCATTAATCTACACTCCTAACTGCTCTGAATAAGCGTTCCTCTTTTTCCAAATCCTCTCCAACACTTGTTATCAGAGCTCCTGCTGATAGTCGTTCTGACTGGGGTGAGGTGCTATCAGAGTAGTTTTCACTTACATATTCCAGATGTCTAGGAGTGTTGAACACTTTTTAAAATACTCACCATTAAACTTCTTTTGGAAATCATCTGTTCATTTCATGGGCCCATTTGTTGAATGGCAATTTTGTGTACTTTGTAACAGTTGTTTGTAACTTCTGGATATTAGTCCTCTGTCGGAAGTGTAGCTGGTAAAGGTTTTCTGTCATTCTGCAAGGCTGTCTGTTTGCTCTGCTGATAGGTTCTTTTGCTGTGCAGAAACCTTTTTATCCCACATAGTCCGATCTGTTGATTCTTGGGGCTAATTCCTGTGCTCCTGGAGTACTGTTCAGACAGTCCTTTCTTTACTACCCCAATATCTTAAAAGAGTATTCCCTATGTTTTCTTTTAGCAGTTTCAGCATCTTGGGTTTTTTTCTTTGTTTGGGTTTTTGTGTGTGTGCAAGGTGACAAATATGGATCTAGTTTTATTCTTCTGCAAGTAGATACCCAGTTTTTCCAGCATGGTTTGTTGGATAGACTCTTTTTGTCCACTTTCCATGTTTTTACCGTCTTCATCAAAAACTAGGTAGCCGTAACTTTGTAAGTTTATTTTAAAAATTAATTGTGAAAAAATAAATAAAATTTAAAGGGGGCGGGCTGGAGAGATGGCTCAGCAGTTCGAATCCCAGCGCCCACATGGCAGCTAATAACTGTCCATAACTCCAGTCCCAGGGGATCCGACAGCCTCTTCTGTCCTTCACGGGCATTGCACAACATGGGTTCACTTACCTACATGCAGGCAATACACACATACACATAAAATAAAAAATAAATAAAAATTTCTTTAAAATAAGGAAAATTGTGGTGGGGCTGAAGAGATGGCTCAGTGGTTAAGAGCACTGGCTGCTCTTGCAGAGGACCTGGGTTTGGTTCCAGGGATCTGACACCCTTTTCTGACCTCCTGGGGCATTGCATAACATGGGTACACTTATGTACATGCAGGCATAACACCCATACATGTGAAATAAAAATAATAAAATATATTTAAAAATTACTTGTGGCAAACTAAACACCAAAGAGCAGAAGAATGATTTGATAAATGTCGATACATTCAGAAAATAATGAATTACAGTCATCAAAATATTGTGTTTGTGAAGAATTTTTAAGAACATTGAAAATCCTCAGAATATAATATTAAAAAAAGATGAAACTATGTAGTCTGACCTCAATACATCAGCATAAGAATATTTTAGAGAGGGCATTAAGATGTTAATATATTAATTCTGAATAGTACTGCTTAAGGTCAATGGGGAAGGGCCACTCTCCCATCTCTAGGAAAGAAAGAAGCTTTTAGGACCTCAAAGTAAAGGAAGTCTCTTCCTAGAAAACCCCATAGGGTCAACCTCTGCTACCAACAGCCTCGCTTCAGTTAGTTTTCATGTTGCTGTAATAAAATATGCTGACAAAAGCAAGTTAAGGAAGGAAGGGTTTATTTTGGCTCACAGTCTGAGATGCAGTCCAGCATGCTAGGAAGGCAACACAGCAGAGCTTGAATAAGCTGTTCACATTACCTGAATGATCATGCTCAGCTCACTTTCTCCTTGCACACAACCCAGGATCCCATCCCAGGGAATGGGTCCACCCACAGTGGATGAGTCTTCCATCCACAGCTAAATCAAGATAGTCTCCCACAGGCAAGCACAGAGACCCATCTCCCAGCTGATTCTACAGCTCACTGAGCCAATAATTGAAATCAATCATGACAACCCCTGAAAACTGCATGTAAACTTTTTTGATTCTCTCCATCCAAGAGGGAAGTGAATGTGCCTTTTACCACCAGAATTGTCTGTCAAACTAGTGGCATAAACAAGCAGGCCATCTGTTCCTCACCTGCTCCCCCTCCAGATACTGGGACTTGGATTTTTCTATCCAAAAATAGGAGTGGTCCTGGGTCTGTCTCTCCTCCCATCTTCCCCAAGGGATGCCAGATAAAGTATATAGAATTAATACAATAGTTTTGGAAAACAGTATGATAGTTTCCTAAAAACTTGAAGTATGACTAACATATAATCTACCAATCACACTTCTAGACAAGTACACAAAAGTGTTGAAATCAGTATGACTAAGAGATCTGTGAACTCCCTCATTCACTGCAGCATTATTCACAACAGCGAAGATAGGGAACCCACAGAACTGTCCATTAGCAGGTAAATAAATAAAACATGGATGTATGTATAAAGAAATACTACTCAGCCTTAAACTAGAGAAAACTTCCATTTGTGAAATATGGATGTGACTGGAAGACATTATACTCATTCAAATGAGCCAGATGCAGAAAGGCAAGTCAGTACTGCACAATCTCACATGTAGACTCTAAAAGTCAGGCTGGTGTTATGCTGTAATCACGGCAGGATTGTGAGTTTGAGGCATGTCAGGGATATACAGTATGAAACTACCAAAAAAAGAAAGAGGGAAAGAAGGAAAGAAAGAAAAAGAACCGAAAAAGAAATAGGAAGAAGAGACTAAAATGTCAAACGTGCAGTAGATTGTTGGTTACGGCAGGATGGGGCAGAGCTGAAGGGGATGTTGGGAAATTACGAACCAAAGGCTACAGCGTTTATGGTAAGCAGAATGTGATTTTTTTCAAGATCTATTATTTATCATGATGGCCAGAATTAATATACTGTATATTTCTACAGGAATTTATATTAAATATTCTCATTACATAAAAAGATAGGTGATGTTAAACTCACTGTCATCTTTCCACAACGTATACATATATAAAAACCTCATAAATACACAGACATACGTCAAAGATGAAAGTTTTTAAGAAACAAAATCAGGGGAAAATTAATGAATTACCATTCTACAGTGTTTCACAGAACCCCCCCCTCCCCGCCCATCCAACAATACAAGACCAGTTTCAAGTGGTTGCAGCTATGCATTCACATGGCCTCATGAGTGGCCCGATGCTCACTGTCACTGTATTGAAATTCTTCATAATTTTCTGAGGGGAAGGTTGAGGCAGGGGCTCATTTCACATCCCAGCTGGCCTGGAGCTTGAGACCCTCCTGCTTCACCCTGTGACTTCTGGACTAAAGGCATGCACCAGCACTTGTGGCTCTTCGTCATGTTTTAATTCATGCACCTCCATGTTGACTTTGCACTGGACTCCCTCTCCTGGGAGATGGAGGCAGCAAAAAGGAGGAGAGGGCCAGGTGGAAGGAGAGGTGGCAAGTCATAAAGAATGGAAGTTAAGTGCAGAGTGTAGGAAATGGTATGGTGGGGAGGCTAGAAGGTTGAGAGAGAAAGCAGAGCCTGTGATGATAGGAGTTTGGGACCCATTAAACCTTTTCCTTCCAGGAGGAGTTACAGCACTTCCTCACTCTCCAGGTAGTCACAGGCAGAAGCACAGATGGAAGCAGAAAGAGGCGGCCCCTTGCACTGGGTGGACTCCTGCTTCTTCACCCTATGCCCTTGTCCAAGCGTAGGGAGTCCCTTTGATGAATCTGGGGAAAACCAAACCTGTGCCTTGTATCAAATCAACTCTCTTATTTCCTATTTATTTTTGTATTTTTGGATGTTAATGTATTATATAAGACATGGAAATTACATAATGAAAGATTTCAGGACTGTATCCTATGGTCAGCATCCTGCAATGTCATTAATTTTGTAAGATTTATTCATGTTTATGGGGGGGGTATGTGCACATGTGTGTGGGTGCCTAAGGAAGCCAGACGTGTCAGATCACCTGAAAGCGGGGGTTACAGGCAGCTGTGACCTGTGGGTGCTGGGAACCAGACTCTGGTCCTCTAAAACGGTAGCATGAGCTCTTAATTGCTGTGCCATCTCTCCAGTCCTGTTCCTTGTGTGATGGCAATTCAATGATTGATGTCTACTGCCAATAAGAAATTTTTGTTTAAAAATTTACTTATTGAGTCTTATTTTGAAATTAATCACTAACATGAAAGTCCACCTATTTCCAGAATGTTAACCTAATCTCTAAAGAAATCACTGTAACCCTTTTCTCAGTTAAGCCCATGTTCTAGGGTGGGGCTGGCTCCACAGGTGCCAGACTAGAAGACACTTGAAAATAGGGGAGGAAGGGACTAATTGAGGGGAAAAAAAAAATCAAATGATCAGAAGATTTTAAGTTATTAAATCATTACCTGTTCACTAACAACAAATGACAAAGCAATTATTTCCTACCCTATGCTAATGACTGAGATACCCACAAAAGGAATGTGTACAGGCCCTGCCTTCCTCCCTGGCACACTCCCAATCTCCACCCTTCCCAAGACTCAGTCCCTCCTCTGAACGTCAGCAGCACTTTGTACCTTCCTCCCAGCACTTGACACTTTGCACCCAGCCTTACTGGTTACTCCACTTTCCTCTGTGGACTGTAAGGTTCTTGCCAGCCAGAGCTGGCACATATGCCTGATTAGTGTCAGCATAGGAAGTGCAAGATAAAATTGTTGATTCCAAGATTGCTGACACTCCCTTGGGGCACAAGGGAGCAGGTACTTCCACACTGAAGGAGAGCATGAACAGCTGCATTTTCTTCGAAGGGCAATTTGGCCTTACCTACCCCAAACCATGGGTGGGGTGCAAATTTTGGGAAGGGATCTACATATGATCAAATTATGTTGCATGAAATTGACAAAAAGTAAGTAAAATAAAACCACTTTGAAAGTTGGTCGTGATAGTTCATGGCTGAAATTCCAGCACTTGAGAGGCTGAGGCAAGAGGCTCAAGGCAAGGCCAGCAAGGGCTACATAGACACCCTGCCTCCAAAATCTTAATATAAACATGATAGAGGGAGGACTTTATCTCATTTACAAATATGAATAAAGACACCTACAGAAATCCCAAAAGCAATCTAAATAGTTATCAGTTGGAAAGTCATCAAAAAAATAACTAGCTGTTCTTTAAAAAAGAATAAAATCAAAAATTTATGTTTGATACTATAATATATAAACATTTTAAAAGATAGTAAGAAAATAATATATGCCCATACAATTGACTGGGAAGGGACAGGCGGCCACTTTCTGGGTGAGAGTAATGTTTTGCATTTTAATGAGAGCTTGGTTATACAAGTATATGTCTGTCAAAATTCAGGGAATGATGAGGCTGGAGAGATGGTTCAGCAGTTAAGAGCGCCTGCTCTTGCAGAGGAGCCAGGTTTGGTTCCCAGCACCCACATGGCGGCTCAAAACCCTATAACTCCAGTTCCAAGAGATCCATTGATCTTTTCTGGCTTCCTTGGGCATTACATGACACGGGTGCACTTATATACATGCAGGCAAAACACTCCGACACATAAAATTTAAATACATTACTTTTTTTTGTTATAACCTTTAAAAAAATTCAGCAAGACTAGATTTACCAGAAGGGCAGACAGGGGGAATGGATGAGGGTGCTGACAACACAGTGGACAGTGACAGGGATGGCAGAGTATGGAGCCTCTAGTGGGAGAGGAAGGCTGTCTATCTGACGAGTTTGTATTCATGCTCAGATGCCGAGGAGCTCAGAAGGTGGGCGACTGTGTCCAGTGATAGTCATGTATATAGAGATTAGAAATGCACGTGAAAACATTTCAATGTCAATTGCTTTGGAATGAATTCTTCTGTATGAAAAAAAAAACAAAACAAGTATCTTCTTGAAGTCCCTCAAATTAAGGAAAAGAATAAGAACAAATCATTCTGGAAGAACGCAAAGGAAAATAGCTTTAGATACTTAAGTGACAATTGAATTTATTCTTATAATTGTTTTAATAGCTTTTGTATAATCTTCATAGCTATTATGAGATATAAAATGTATTTATCAAATCTGACTGCATGTACACTGTGCACTATAAAAATAATTCTTAAAAAAGTAAAAAAAAAAAAAAAAAAATTCAGCAAATGGGGACTGGAGAGAAGGCTCAGTGATTAAGAACACTTGCTGTTCTGCCAGAGGACCTGAGTTCAATTCCCAGCACCCATATGGTGGCTAATATAACATCCATCCATAACTCCAATTCCAGGGGATATAGCGTCCTCCTCTGGCCTCTACAGGCATTACATTCACATGGTGCACTTACATACATGCAGGCAAAACACTCATACACATAAAATAAAAATAATAAATAAAATAATTGTTTTAATTTAGGGAATGGCCCTCTTAAAATGTGTCTCACGGAAGGCAAATTTTACTTCAAAGGAAAAAATTACTGCAGACAAATACTAAACTCACTTTATGCTGAAGTATTTAGGCAGAAGTGTTGCACTGTCTTCAGATCCCTTTGAAATGTATTGAAAAGGAAGGTGCATTGGAAAACGGCATGGAATAAAGCACTATAATATAATGTTGGTTGTAAAAATATGTGGTGAGTACATGGACATTCATTGTGAAATTATTTTATGTATTTTAATAACTCATAATAAAACAGTATTTACATACTGATAAGGAATAAAATACAAAGTAATTTTGATGGCATGTTCCAAGTGTATCCAAGGAGACTATGGATTTCTGCAGCATGTTCATGGTCTCTGGTTGGGCAAACTGATGACCCCTAGGGAGAGAAACTGACATTAAGTGAAGTCTGGGGGTAGGCTTTCTTTTTACTATAATTCTCTTTATTAAATAATATGTCATACAGATTATTTTAATGAACTGAAACTATGTTTTTATTTTGTAAATATATACACATTGATGTTTTCTCAGATACTGTCATTAGTATTTAATTCATATGCGTGACATCATTCTGCACACGTCACAAAACCCTGAAGACCAAAATCAAAAGTGCTACTTCTCTAGGATAGTTCCCTGTGAGGTCAGCCTGGGGCTCTATAAAATGTAAACAAGTCTTCCTCAATGAAATCAGGTCCCAATGATGAGATGGTTCCCCCTGCTGGCCTCACACAGACATGTCCATTACATTCAAATCTGGCTCTGGCAGCAGTTCACCAAACTGCAGGGGCCAAGTGTGAAAGCGATGATAAACAGAGGCTTATTTTCACAAGTTTATAGGTTAGAAGTTGGCGCTTAGAAAACCTGCCCAAGGTCATGCGGCTAGTGACAGAACAGAGGTTTGAAACCAGGTTTGACAAGCTCCAAAAGTGCTTAATACCCCTGGTGCCTTCTGCTTGCTGGTATCTATGGTACTATGAGCAAGATGCACGGAAGAATGCCACATAGTTGAATTAGGAGTTCTTTATTAATAGCTAGCAGTCAGAGGGGCTACTGCCCAAAAGAACTCTGGGTCCTGAGGAGGAGCAGGGTAGGGTTTACATAAAGCTTAAAACCACAATTATATCATGCCAGGAGCAAATGCAACAACCATAGTTACATCCAGTCATCATAGTTATACCAGACCAGGGGCAGGTCAGTTAACAAAGAGGTTTTCGGTTAACAAAAAGTTTCAATTAGGAAAAAACAAGTTTCTCAGAATGCAGAAACAGAGAAACAGTGGCCTTCATGGAGATGCAGGTCTAGCTGGGAGGGAGGACTGTTATCTGGATATGCTACCTGGCTACTTGTAAGTTTCCCAGTATTGTAGAAACAGTGTCCTCCCTGAAACTACCTACATGAGACGTTCTGCCTGGCTGGCTGCAGTGGAAATGGCTGGGCAAAAATACAGGGTAAAGCAAAAGTCATCTAGAGCAAAATGGAGTTAGTTTTGCCATTTCAATGGGACTTGTTATTTATTTACTTTTATTTATGGGGGAGGTCTTTGTTTCTTTTTATGATACAATGTCTCACTGTGTAACACTGGCTGGCCTTGAACTCACAAAGATCTACCCGCCTCCCTAGTGAGGGAGACACCATGCTCAACCTGACTTTTGTTGTTTTAAAATAGGGTCTCACTATGTAGCACTAACTTGCCTGAAACATGCTATATAGACCAGGCTGGCTTCAAGCTCACAGAGATCTGCCTGCCTCTGCCTCCCAAGTGCTGAAACTACAGGCCTTAAGTCACCATACCCAGATTTATGGATTTTTGTTTATTTGTTTTGTTTATTTGAGATTCCCTGTAGCCCCAGCTATCCTAGAACTCCCTATTTAGACTAGGCAGACCTCAAACTCACAGAGACCCACCTGCATCTGCCTCTCAAGTACTAGGATTAAAGGTGTGTGCCACCACACCTAACTGGCTTTACATTTTTTTTAAGACAAGTTCTCACTGAGTAACCTGGGCTGGTCTGGAACTCAGGAAGTTCCTGCTTTCAGCTCTGGAGTGCTTGGGATTCTAAGCCTGCAAAGCCATGCCTGGCTATGTGTGGAACTCTTTCAACCACCTGTTGACATTCAGCAAACAATGCTGACCCTGGATTTAAACTTTTGTTGTTGTTACTGGGCAACAACCATGATCACATTCTCAAATTTCATTAAAGCTAATGGCAGGGCAGTGAATTCCTGAGTCAGACTGGCTGACTTCACAACACTGTGCACTCATTCCTTCCTGGTGAATGTCACACAATGTTAAGACTAGTTGTTGAGGGTGATATCATGTATTTACCCTTCCATTTTGGAGGATTTATAGCTCTGAGGAAGCAATAAGGTGATTAACAAAGAGGAAATCACTGCTGAATTAACAGGTCAAGGTATACTCACACACTTTCTCTGAACTGGCTGACTGCTCTGGAGAATTAAAGTAATAATGAGACTTACACAACATGCTTCCCCAAGGACCAAATGAGACCCTGTTTGGGCCTAATCAATACTTATATGCAAAGATTGGTGTCTGTGATATGTTAGTTTTCTTGCTCCATTACAAAGTATGTCAAGAAAAATCAACTCAAAGAAGGGAAGGTTTACTTTGGCTCGTGGGTTCGGTTTGAGGAAGGTGGCAAAGCCTGTGGCAGAGGAGGCTGCTCACTTCATGGTAGCCAGGAAACAGAAAAAACGAGAAAGGAAAGGTCTGGAGACAAAATGAACCTTTCAAAGCCACGCCCCAAGAATCTACTTTCTCCAGCAAGGCCCCCACCTCCCCAAATTCACACCTTAACAGAACTCCTTAATTTCTCCAGCACAGTACAGGACTCTTAGCCAACCTCCTTCTGTTCCTGTATTAACTGAGGGCTTAAGTCTTCATTCCAGCCATACTTTCTCCATCTGGGCTGAACAGTGAGGCAAGCGGTGCAATCAAATGAAATATTTTGGTGCAAGCAAAAAAACCACCAGCTACCCTCCCTGCCTCCATCCTTTATACAAGATGCATCTGGAATGGATACAGTCAGCCATGTCCTGGAGGCTGCAGCAATCCGGGAAAGAGGATCACTAGGAAGTCCCACCACTTACCCATACAGATGACTGTCTGTCTGTCTGTCTAATCTATCTATCATCTATCTATCTATCTATCATCTATCTATCAATCAATCTATCATCTATCTATCTATCTATCATCTATCTAATTTGCATTCCACTGTCTGCAGCCTCCTTGGGTTTATTCAGTGTCAGAAGGAACAGAGTCCACTTGTCAGCCTCAAGGACACAGTGCAGGCTCCAGCCACCTCCCAGCACCTCCCTCCTTCCTGTCTTATATATAGCCTGACTCCCAGTTACAGAGGCTGTAGGATCCGCAGAGTGCAGAGGGGCCCTTTACAAGGGGGGTTTCTGATCAAAGCATCAACTCTACCTTCTCAAGCAGCAGCTACACTGTGTCAGGTATCACTTTTAGAGATTCGAAGATCATTGAAACTAATCACTTCCCTTGAGAAACTCACAATATAAGAAAAGTAAGGACGTAAGCAGAGGAGGGATGGTGTGGTCGCACAGTGCAGACTGAATTCAAAGCATGCCTCACCTTCATGGTGGATTTGGAAGAACCCAGTTAATGCCAAGAAGGAAACACACATCTCTGAAACAAGGACTCCACAGACAGAAGTACAGACAGAACAGGCCACTCCATATCTCTACCATGGCTCGCTGTGTGCCCAGCAGTGGAAACTGTCTCTGCTCCACTCAATTGAGACAGGTACAAAACAAATCACCCAAACAGAAGGTACATTGTACTCAGCATTCTGATTAGCACCTAGCTGTCTAGGGCAGAGAAGGGGAAAGATTAATTCTAATTTGGGTCCTAAGTACAAAGACCATTGGGAATGGGAGGGGAGAGGTCTCTCCTAAGGGATCTGTGGTTGGGCAAAGTGGAAATTAAGGCGGGGCTGGGGCTGCAGATCCGTCTTGGGAGAAAGGGGGAGGAGAAAGACTAGACAGAGGAGGGATTGGGGCAAGAGAGAGGGTGGGGCCAGTGGGCTCCTCCTTCTGCCCCTGCACTCTCGCTAGTCGACCTGTTTTCTACTGTCCTGAGAAACAGGTGAGCCACAGTTCCTGGGGCCGCTGCCAGGGGCAGGGCACAGGCCATGGGAGTGGGGCTGGCATGGGCAAAGGGGATCTGTGACCTCTTGCTACAGAGAGGTCAGGGATCTAGCAGGGCTGGTTGCCTGGTGTAAAGTACCTTGGGATTGACTTTGCTCTTTTTCGGAGAAATGAAAAGGTGTCTGTCCCCCTCCCCACTGGCCTCCCAGCCTCTGTGCTGATTCCTGGGAGGAAACTTGAACTCTGAGTTCAGTGGCTTGGGGGAAGAGGTTTGGGTCTAGCAGATATGGGTACAGAAGAGAACAGGGGTCATCAGGGCCTCTAGGGCTTGCCCTAGGACTTTCTAAGACTTTCTCACTTAGTTGGTGTCCCTGTGGCCTTGCTGAGGCTGTGTGCACATTCTCCTCAGACCAGAGCATGGGCTGACTCTTCTATAGTGGAGAGCAGAAGACTGGCCTGACTGGTAAGTGATGCTCCTTCCTCCTCTCTCCAGCAGGGTCACACTAAGGGTCTCTGGCTGGTGAGGAAAAGGGTGGAGGTCTGACCAGGGCTGTAATAGGCAAAGGGCTGGGCTTGACCCATCACCTGGATTCCAGAGATGCCTGTGTGCACTGAGGCCACAGGCGGGATGACTGGCCCTGGATCCTGCTTGGTGTATTGGGAGGCTGGAGGGGAGACTGAAGGAAGAAAGAGCAAGGATGGGAGGCAGAGCCATCAGGGCTAAGAGTCACAACTGGACTAGTTTCTATACCAATAACCTAGAGAGAATGGTGGAGCTGCCAGAGGCCCTGCAGATCATTTCAGACTGATAACCCGGAACTGAAACAGTAGCGTGGAATATGCTCACTTTGGTGTGTTGCTCTGCTGTGATGCCAACTGCTCCTTAACACATAGCTGGTGTGTCTTTCTGCAGGTGCCCTGGGAGGGGCCATGGTGCCAGGGCAGTTGTGGGGGAAACTGAAGCAGCCATTTCTCTTCCTGAGCAGCGCCTCCCTCCTCCTGGGGCTGGCTCTGCTGGTCATACAGCCCAATGTTGCTCCTGTTGCTTATTTCTTCCTCTGCGTGGCTGGCTTCTTCTTTCTCGCCTGCCTCCTGGCCTGTGTTGTGGAACAGAGTCTCCGATCAATGCAGAGATCCACACAGACTGAGAATCCAGGGACCTCAGGCAATGCAAGGTGAGTTAAAAGGAAAGACAGCCACCTTAGGCCCTTGTTTCCTCTATGCCTTCAGTTTCTTAAATGTAGACTCTGCTTTCCTTTGTCACTGGTATCAGTAAGAGTAAGCCAGTTGGGGACAGCAGAAGGGTCTTTTGCAGGAGTGGAACAGAAAGGGGGAAAGGGGGCTGCTTTCAGGAAGCCACGAATGACCTTATTTCTCCTCCCACAGGGACAATGAAGCTTTTGAGGTACCAACCTATGAACAGGCCGTGGTGGTGATGGACTCACAATCACAGCACCATATCCAAGAACTGGAGCAACCACCTCCTTACAGCAGTATTGTAATAGCCCCAGAAGCTGAGGCGGGACAGCCTAGCCAACCAGAAATGGCCGGGACAGGCAGACTGGAAAGGCGAGTGGGCTCAGAGGGGACTATGAGCCAGAGAGGAAACCCCGGAAGAGCTCTTCGACTTCGGGGTCCACGGGTTGTGGCCACTGCTCCTGACCTGCAAAGCTTGAGGGTGGTACCCAAATTGGAGCCTACTACACCACCCCCTGCCTATGAAGTCTGTTTTCCTCTCCCTGATGATGACAGTGTTTTCTATGAAGACAATTGGGCACCCCCCTGATTGATTCTCAGGACCTGTCATCTCTCCACATCAGACCTACTCATTTGCCCAGCATTTCCCAGTGCCTACCGATCAGAAACTGGTTTTGCCTGGGCATCACAAATGGGGCCTTGAAACCAGCAAAGTGTCAGGCTGTGACAAGCCCTTCCCAGTGGAGATGTAGGTGGCCACAACCTGATGTTTCTGGCAACATTCCAGAACCGACCTAAGGACCAGCACTTCCAGACTTAGGCTGAAGGCGAGAGAGAGAAATGACCCAGAGAAACTAGAGAAGTCATCTCTGAGTGACACACCTGTGTCACATCTATTCAGATGCCCTGCCTCCCTTGGATTCCTCCTGAAACATGAGAGTCAGGGGAGCTGGATAACTTGCACAAGGACAGACTGCTAGTAAAAACATAAAAATAACCTGAATCAAATCCTGATTGCAAAGCCTACTGTTTTCAATATAGCCCAGACCATCCACACTTCTTTCAGTCCTTGTCTTGGGACAACTGGTAGGTGAGAGATGGAAGACTAAGCAGACAGAATAGGAGGCCAGCTGTGCCTATAGACGGAGATGCTTACCACCGTGAGCATGCCCAACCCCCGAGAGGGGCGCCGCCTAGAGCCTTCCATGGTCCCCGCACCCTGGCCCTGCAAGCTCAGTCCCAACAAAGAGAGAAGGGAAGCCCGACCCCTTCGGTCTGCGGGCAGTCATTCTTGAAGGAGGGGCGGGAGGAACCAGGGGAGGTGGCTGCGGTTTCCGCGGGAATCAATAACCAATCAGATTCCCAGGTCGGAGAGGCCTCGCTCTTTTCCCCGCCCCTTCCCGTTCCGCCCAGCGCCTTCTCTGTCCCGATTGGGCAGCACGACTCCCGTCGGGCCCACTGCGCTTGCGCACGCCCCGGCTACGATGGGGGTGGGGCCTGCTGCGTCGGGGCGGGGCGGGGCCGGGCGTAGGCGCGGCGCGCGTGGGAGGCGGGGGGAGGCATGCGAGGGGCGGGCGAGGCCTGGCGTTTGTTTGGATCGTGGGCTGTGCGTGTGCAGCCCGGGAAAAGGTGCAAATGGCGGCACGGAGCGCGGGGTCGCAGCCGGCGGTGTACCGGAAGGGGCTGATGGAGGCTGACCGGAGGGGCAGGTGAGGCGCGCGGGGCGGCGGTGCTGCCAGGGCCGGGCCCTGTCGGAGGCCCAGCAGCCCTCACCCAGGTACCCCTGTATCCGCAGGGTCCCCTCTAACGACGAGGGCGGGAGGTCCGGCCGAACCCGGGGCTGCTCGGAGGCCGGCTCTGCAGCCGCTGGGCCTGGGCCACGGCAGAGGCTGCGGCATCCTCCCTTTGTCCCGCCGGGGTCTGCAGAAGCGCGGGGCTTGCGGGGCCCCCTGGGTCTCGGAAAAGATGCTCGGTCCTTAGTCTCTGCAGTTCTCGTGGGAGGAGTTAAATCCTTGTCGCCCTAAAAGTCGGAGAGACTTGGAGGCTTCGCTGCTCCGCCTGATGTGATGTGCATTCACTGTGTGGTGTCCTGGACCGCTTTCCGTATAATGGGTTTTGTTTTGTTTCCTTTTTCTTTTTTTCCAAAGAATTCCGTACAGATTGGAGAATTTGAGACCTTTGAGGGGATTAGGTGATTCCTGTGCCTCTGCTGCGTCCCTGGTGGTTCAGTTTCAACGCAAACATCACCCAGGAGGACACATTTGAATGCTTGCTGTCCAAACCTATAAGGTTAACTTAAAAACTGAACTGCCAGAGGACACAATTAAAACTTTAGAACTCCCTTGGTGTCGTTTTTCTCCACTCCCGCCTTCCATAGGTGCTCTAAAACTCCGGGCGATTAGAAATTTGGAAAGTTTATTGTTTAAGGCTCTCATGGTATGAAATGGAGGAAGTAGCAGGTGAGCGTGGAGACGCTTAAGTTAAAAACCGATGACTGGTTCAAAATCAGGCTTAGAACTTGAGAGAGTTCGGTAATGGGGGTTGATTAGTAAATTGTGACTGTGGATGAGATTACCTAGGGAAGAGGCTCCTTATTCAAGGGAGTCCTAATGCAGTGTCAGTATTTATGGGCTGCCAGGCCTGTAATGCTGTATCCCGGAGGCCACCGTGAATTGAAGGTCAGCTTGGTCTGCATAGAGGGTTCCAGATCTAACCCCATCTCAAAAAGAAGGAAAAAACAAGGCCAGGTGAAAGGAAACAGGAGCATGGTAGTCAGGACTTGGAGAGAAGGATGTGAAAACGAAGGGAGAGGTTGTTTTAAGGAGTGAATTCTGGTAAACTAACGAACTCTCTTCCACCATGGCTTATGTACACTGAGGAGCTACTCAGCGAGCAGCTCCAGTAATCACCTTACTTTTACTGGATTTTTGGGACTTCTTTGGTCCCGTGTAAGTTGATTTTTACGTGGGGTTTCAAATCTCTGCAGTCCTGATTACAGCAGGTCTTAATGAATTTTGAGACAGGGATGGATTCTGAGTACCTCCTCCCCATTGAGGCTCCTCCTCCCAGGACCCTGCTTTTCCATTTGACCATAGACTGCTGCCCAAGGATATCAAAGCCATGTGCTTGACATTTCGTTTATTGAAGATGCTTGTTTTCTTACCTATTTTACTCTTTGAAGTAAGTGTGCATTTTAAAATGGATTTTCAAACTGAGCCTGTTCTGATAGCCTGTTCACTGCCATCAAACCGTATCCACTATCCTGTATTTGAAAACTAAGCAAACTGGCGGTCTGGATTTATAGATATTGGGCACTGCTCGAGTTTGCTCTCATATTGCTGTGATGAAAACACTGACCAAAACCAGCTTGTGGAGGAAAGGGTTTATTGACCTTACAAGCACAGTCCATCATCCAGGGAAGCCAAGGCAGGAACTTGGGGCAGGAACCTGGAGCGTGGATGGTGGAGGATAGCTGCTTCCCTGGCCTGAGGGTGGCCAACTTTCTTATACAATACAGGACCACCTGCTGGGGTAGCGGCGCCCACAGTGGGCTGGCCCCACAGACATGACCACCTGCCAGTCCAATGGAGGCCAGTCCCCAGTTGAGGCTTCCTTCAGGTATGTCAGTTGACAACTAAAGCTATCCAGCACAGGCATGTAGATGGTATCTTTTGGACATGGGTTTCTTTCTCTCAGTTCATAAGCAAAGCTGGTCTCTTTCCAAACTGAGAGCAGAAGGAAGAGATTTGAAGCGCAGCTATGACTAGTAAATGACTGAGATTTAGCAGTTGCTTGCTCTGTCCCTGTGGGTGCAGGTTACACTGTTTGTGTTGGTACCACCTGCTGTGGCTTTCTGCTGTACTTTTCCATTTAGCCACACCTATAGATGCCTGCTCCTATCTAGTGTTATTTTGTCTGGAGAATTTAAACATTTAATATTTTATTTTTATTTTACATGTACGAATGTATTGCTGCATGTATGTAAGTGCACCCATGTTGTGCAATGCCCAAGGAAGTCTGAAGCAGACACCAGATTCTCCTGAACTGGAGAATTAGCCTCCATGTGGGTCCTGGAATCAATCCCAGGTCTTTGCAAGAGCAACCAGTGCTCTTAACCACTGAATCATCTCTCCAGCCCCTTAAGCATTGTTTGATAAAAAAACATAATTTGCATAAGCAATCTAGAGACTATCTTTGGCTGCTGGCTTTCTGTTTTGTATTTTATCCCTGTGCTGAGGTCACTGTAAACTTGTTCGCTTTCTAAGGTAGCCAACATGAAGTGTTTTCAAAGCTAGCTTTCAGAGGAGTGTTCCTTGGATATGTTTGTGGGTCTCTTTGGCCAAGATACATATGTCCATCTCCTAGTTGGACCACTCACATCTCAGATAATCTCACTTAAACTAAAGTCTGCAGAGAATTGCATGTTTTCTTGGGGTCAGTGTGTTATTGCTTGGTACGTTTTGATTTTAAGCAGATTCAGTAAAATCTGCCTGATGGTTCCGAGTCTGCTTTCCTCCCCCACTCCCACTTTTCTGTGTCCAGTCTTGTCCTTGATATCTCTCTCTCTCTCTCTCTCTCTCTCTCTCTCTCTCTCTCTCTCTCTCATAGCTGTAGGATACTGGCAGTGTGTGGTATGCATCCTGACCATCAGGAAACCCTGAAGAAGAACCGAGTGGTGCTGGCCAAACAGCTCCTGCTGAGCGAATTACTGGAACACCTCCTGGAGAAGGACATCATCACTCTGGAAATGAGGGAGCTTATTCAGGTATCAGAGATGAAAGGGAGAAGCCGAGAAGATGATTGGTGTTGGGGTGGGACACAGCATGAGACCATGCAAAGGATGTGACTTCCTGATTGAGGAAACCCAGTGCCCTTCTCACTGAGGATTTGACAGAAGAGACAAATGGATTAGACGGCCTCACCTGTGCATACTTTCCTGCACAAAGGAAATTCTAAGGTGGAGGGGAACACTAATCAGGGAAGCTCATGTGTAAAAATACATTACAACTGAATATATAAACATGGTTGATGTTTTATTCTTGCGCCTTAGGCCAAAGGAGGCAATTTCAGCCAGAATGTAGAGCTCCTCAACTTGCTGCCAAAGAGAGGCCCTCAGGCTTTTGATGCCTTCTGTGCAGCGCTGAGGGAGACCAAGCAGGGTCACTTGGAAGACTTGCTGCTCACAACCCTCTCTGATCTTCAGCATGTACTTCCACCGGTATGAATCCCTAGAAATGTATCCTGGGAAGGGTTAGTTTGGTGAGAAAGGATATGGTGGGACAGGGTGGGAGAGACTAGACTTCGTTTTATGGGATTGAACCATCTCTCTGAGGTCTTTCATGGTGAGTCCTGATCTCTTACAGTTGAGCTGTGACTACGACATGAGTCTCCCTTTCCCAGTGTGTGAGTCCTGCCCCCCTCACAAGCAACTCCGCCTGTCCACAGGTGAGAATTGATGGGATAAAAGGAATCTCACATGTGGAATTCCCTGTTTTTGACTGGTATATGGCTTTTCCCTAAGGGGAGGCATATTAAGAACAGTTCTTTGTGAATTTGCTACAGGCTAGCAGGACAGTTTAGAGGGCACATAAATTGGCCCATTTCCCTTCCATTGTAGGTAATATTTTCAAGACAGTTGGCTCTTTACGCAACTTAACACAGGGAGGAAATTCCTATATACGATTTGACTTGTCTTCTCTTAAAGCTGAATGAGAAAAGATGACATTTAGGGCTGCCTAGCTGCTGGTTGTGTAGTGATGTGATCAAAACTAGACTTTTCTCCGAAGTCCTTTCCATCATTCAGTGAGCTGAGTACCTGCTGTATGCAAGCCAAGTACAGAGGGCCCAGTGATGAGCTCAAGCCAAGATCTGCGCTCTCATGCTTAAAGATGAGGGGAGTAAGATCTGTGTTCATCAGAACCTCGGGTTAAAGAGCTGCCTAAAGCTCTAGTGTGTACTAGGATAATGCTAAACTGTGCTAGCTTCTGCTTTCTGTCTGTACCACAGATACTGTGGAACACTCCTTAGATAACGGAGATGGCCCTCCTTGCCTTCAAGTGAAGCCTTGCACTCCAGAGTTTTATCAGACACACTATCAGCTGGTGAGTTTTTAAGAGGGGCAGGCAGTTAGAGGCCTTTCCTGGCCCTCTGGACCTCATTTGCATGTTCCCTGCTGCCTTGTTAAAAGCCACTGCAGGTTGACTGTCTTCCTGGCATCTCCTGTTTCATGTTTTCACATGGTGTGGTTAAGGAAATTGTCCTGTGTTTGGGGGAAGGGTGTTGCATGGCTTGTTTTTTTGAGTAGTTTGTATCAAGATGCTCATGTCTAACTGGCCTCCTCCTTCCAGGCCTATAGGTTACAGTCTCGGCCTCGTGGCCTGGCCCTAGTGCTGAGTAATGTGCATTTCACTGGAGAGAAAGACCTGGAATTTCGCTCTGGAGGAGATGTGGACCACAGTACTCTAGTGACTCTCTTCAAGCTCTTGGGCTACAGCGTCCATGTTCTGCATGACCAGACTGCACAGGTACCTGAGGCTGGAAAGGTGGATAGTCAGAGGGCTGGGCTTGGCTTTGGGCCTATCTATCTCTGTTCCTCTGCCTGTTGGGTGTTTCTCACAAGTTTAGTCACTCCCTCTCCTGGGCTTCTCTTCTGCATCTAGTGAAGAAGAGCTAGGGCCAGCATCGACGTCCCAGGGTGGCTGTGCTTCATGAATAATAATAGTTCAGTTCTCACATTTATATGTTCAGACACTTGACTCCCAATCACTCAGAAAGTGATGAGACACTGCGATTCATCCAAACTGACTCAGAAAAGATATTTATAAATCAGGCTGCAGAGAACCTTTACTTGATGGTTGACTGTTACGGAAGAGCTCAGTGATTGTTTAAAGGTGTACTTTGTCAGATTTGGTTCTCGTACATGGTCGTTTGTAAGTGCAATTTAGTGGTAATCTCAGCATATGGGAAAGTTCTCGTTGGTCTTGTGTTAGGATAGATTGCTACTGGACAAGAATCTCATGCGTGATAAGTATTTCTTCATGGCTTAGTTCCCTTTGACCTGTTACTGAGCTGTGCTACCAACTTTTGTTATTTTTAGGATTTCTATTTTGAAATTGAAATTTGTACATTTATTATAAATTATTTTGGTTCCATAACAATACGTTGTTAAATTTGGCTTTGGGGCTTGTCAGTGATATAATAAAAATTTCCTAGCTGGTGTGGTGGTGGGTGCCTGTTATCCCAGCACTGGAAGGTGGTGGCATAAGCATCAAGTGTTCAACACCAGCCTCCTTTACATAATAAGTTCAAGGGTAGCTTGGGCTACATGAGACCCTATCTCAAAAAAATAAAATAAAATAAAATTTCTAGGAGATGCCTTTGACTTGTTGAGGTCGAGGAGTGTGGTTTTGTGTTCAGCATTTATTTTGTGGTTGGTACTTGTTTCTTAGCTATCCTGCTTCTATGAGAATACCACAGCACTGCGGGTATGACTGGTTTCATAACTGAGTGTCTAGGGGCTGTCCTTGACATGCTACTTTTGCCAGCTTGTCCACGACTGACCCACTCTTGCTTCAGAGCCATGGGTGGGGGGCTATGGCATGGCTCAGTGGTAGAACATTTGCCTAATGTATACAAGCCTCTGGATTTGATCTACTGCACTGCCTGAAAAAAAAATCTGTAGCTCACACCACCTTTTCTTTTTCATCAAATGAATTAAAGGCAGTAACTTGTCCGCCTCAGTCGCTACAGAAGGAATCCTGTGGGAAGCAAACAGAATGTTTGCTGTGTATGTTTTCTAAGAGGGTTGTGCTAGCCATTCCTTTTATTTTACTAGGAAACTATTAGTCTTGATTTTCTAAATTGTTTGCAGTTGACCAAGATCTTAGACGTTTGATACTTAAAAGATGTAATACTGAGTCATCAAGGTAACTGTGTACTGCTGTTTTTTTTTGAGAAATTCAGGAGACTTGATGAGTCTGTGAACCCTACTTCATAAATGCCATTCCCATTTTGGATGTACCTAAGGCAGATTGAAGGACTTAACTGAATTCTCACTCCCAGGTTTTTCTGTAACTTGAGTTGCAGGGAAGTTAAATTTTGAACACCTTATAATTTGAGGACTATGTTAGCAACCAAAAAAAATTTATGTGGTTCTCAGTTCAAGGGACTTCAAATAGATGAGCGGTCTTTTTATCAGAAGAGGAAGTCTGCCCTCATTCTGCTGAGGAGCTTATCTTCTTACAGGCTAAGCATTAAGAACCACCTGGGTAGGTGTGGTCAGAAGAATAAATAGAGCAGGGGAACTCAGTCTAGGCAGAGGGAGCAGTGTACAGACAAAATATGCATGTCATAAAACAGGTACTTGCCGTGAATATTGTAATGGGGCATTGGGAAACTCCGGAGTGCCCTCTTCCTGTGGGTCTCTGGAGGTTACCATTGACGTATGATTATGTGGTAAGCAAAGAAACAGAATCAGAAAACTTAAGAGCCTCTTTTTACCTTATCAATCCTTTTTGACTATAGAAATAATTCCCTTCAAATAGAAAATGGTATAATTAATCACATAGGATCCTTTTTACTGATAATGCCAAAGGAGAACACCAGTGTTCTCCCTGCTCACTTATATATTTAGTGTCTGATCGCAGTTTTGCATTGTTTCTACCTTAGGATGTAACTTGACTCTAGAATAACAGCCTAGCACATTAGCTAATGGAGGTACAGTCTAATGTGATACATTTTACTTTCATGGTATGCTATTTTTTTTTTAATTTGCTTACTCTTACGAGAGTGTAAAGACGAGCTATGGGTTATGTCTGGGAAATACATCTGCCTCTGTGTTTTGCATGTTTTTTCAGAGAAACCCCTTCATGTGGCCTCCAGCCCAAACATACCCAAGAGCTACCAACCCCGTTATTTATAGAAGTACTATGCTTTTATCTGAAATAAACCTACAGATCCTGTTTTAAGCTGTGCTACTTGTGGGAAAAGCCCCCAAATAATGAATCTGCAGTTGTTGGTTTCTTTATTGTCTTATGAAGTTACAGAGTGTGTGTGCTTTTACTTTATTGTCCTCTTAGTCGCTGACCTAATAGAGTCACCGAGGTTAAAATGCGCCTGAGTAGGTGCCCAACTGCATAATTGGTACTTCATTTTTCAGGAATGCTGACATTAGCTACTCTATAGAACACTCACAGGTGCATATCTCTTGAAGGTATATATTTTATAAATAAATAATGTTGTGGTTGGTCTTTTTATCCCCCAAATACATAGACTTTCTCAACAAAGCTACTTTCTCCATCTCCAGTTATATTGAGTCTTTCAAACTTTTTATTAGTATTTCAAGTATATGCAAACAGAAGTATTCCAAACAGTGCAGGGGTGATAGTGCTGTTTGTGATCCCAGCACTCTTGTAGGAGGCTGAGGCAAGAGGATCCAGAGTGCAAGGCAGCCTGGGCTTCATAGTAAGTTCCAGAGTAGCCTGAGCTGCACAGTGAGCCTCTGTCTCAGAAAAGAAAGCAGACGGATATTTCCAGATAAGTACATCTTTTTTTTTTTTTTTTTTAACTATTTTATTTACTATTTTTATTTTTTTACGTGTATGAGTGTTTTGCCTGCATGTAGGTAAGTGCACCCGTGTTGTGCAGTGCCCATAGAGGTCAGAAGAGACTGTCGGATCCCCTGGAATTGGAGTTACGGACAGTATCAGCTGCTATATGGGTGCTGGGGTTCGAACCTGGGTCTTCGGCAAGAACAGTCAGTGTTCTTAACCGCTGAGCCATCTCTCCAGCCCCCTAGTTCAGTACATCTTAAAAGCTTTAAAATAGGACTTAGTGAGAGGGTTGATGAAAATGATTTGCTGCAGTCCTGTCTTTCACGTTTCTCACAAGTTCTTCAGCGATGCTACCATTGCCCCTTGGGAACCACGCCCCCTTTAGAGCCTCTGAAACATGCTGTATAAGTGAAGTTTTTATTGAGGGAGGAGAGGGTGGTGAATGTGAAAGACTTGCTTGCTCTGACTGTTCTGCCTGGGTAGCAAATTTGTCTTCATTTATGTTTCCTTCATATTTGTAAGAAAATGAACCTTATTTTCCCTCTGCCCATCACAAGTAAGAAAGCAAGCCCAGACATCTTGAGTTGCAAATGGAGACATAGATTTAAAAATTACTATGTTAGATACTACATAACTTTCTGTTAGACAAACCAGTTGCTTAGACTGGTGTTATTTATGTATGACAAGTTAAGTTGGACCACCAAGTTGCTCAATAACATATTCTTTGAAAAAACGTTATTATTACTCTGCAATATTTCATTTAATCTTCGTAAACTAAGAGAAAATGTGCTTGTATTGATTTTCTTGTAAAGTGGAAATTGGACATTTGAGGGACTGAATACCTTGTTCTAAAATATGAATCAGGGTTCAAAACTCTGATCCCAGATCTATGTATTTAGCTGCCCTGAGTGGAGTCATTGGGGCGTGTTCTAAGCAAAGGGCTTTATACAGACATCAATTTCTGAGGCACTTAGAATCCAGACAGGTCCTGCTGTTCTCTGCTGTCTTGACACTCTTAGTCCTTTGTCACAGACTAGCTTATTTTCTTGTAACTGAGAAAGTCTTGTTCCTTGGGCCACTTATACATAAGGCCACTTACCTTAAGAGGATCCCTTAAAGGTCAGGGAATGAGTCAAAGCTGACAAGCTCAGGTAACGTGTGTGTGTGTGCGCGCGCGCGCGCGCATATGGGGCCCCAGGTTCATATTAGGAATCTTCCTAAATCGCTTTCCACTTTATTCGTTGAGGCAGAAGCTCTGTTTTTGAACCCAGCTCTTGCTGATGTGATTAGTGTGCCTAGCCAGCTAGCTCTGGGGATCCCATCTCTGCCTTCCAAGTGCTAGAATTACCACAGCAGCTCAGCATTTACATGCATGGGGGGCGGTGGCAAGCCCTGGTCCTCGTGCTTCAGTGGCAAGCACGCTATCTACAGAGCCATTTCGCCACCTCTCATGTAACTTCTTTAGGACCTCACTTTAGTACAGAGTTCTTACCCTACGTCAGTGACCTACTGCCCCATATTCAGTTTTCTAAAGTTACTCATCTTTCTTGTGAGTACACAGTTTCTTTCACCTTTCAGAGTGTTTCTGCCTTATTGACCACAGAAATATACAGAAAACATTTTATCTTTAACAGGATAGGGTTATTTTCAAATAAACCAGAGATTAGTATTTATGTTAGTACTGACTGTGGTGAGCAGCACTAAGAGGTATCTATCTTCTAGGAAATGCAAGAGAAACTCCAGAATTTTGCACAGTTCCCTGCACACCGGGTCACCGACTCCTGCATCGTGGCCCTGCTCTCACATGGTGTGGAAGGTGGCATATATGGTGTGGATGGCAAACTGCTTCAGGTACGTATAATATAGTGGAAGCTAACTATTGAAAATAGGCCACTCTTGTGGCTGGAGGGGTGGCTCGGTTAACCGTAAGAGGGATCACAGCTGTCTGTAACTCCAGTTCCAGATCTGATGCCTTCTTATGGCTTCTACAGGTACCAGACACACATGGTGCACTTACACAAAAATAAAGATAAATCTTAAAAAGAAGGTAGGCCAATGCCTCATGCTTGTCCATATGTATTAGTGACTTTTCTGTCGCCCTGACCAGATACCCAACAGGAAGCTACTTAGGGCAGGCTTTCTTTTGGCTCATAGTTTGAAAGGATGTCGTCCACTGCAGCAGCTCCACGGCACTGGGAGCATGAGGAGGTTTATTGTATCCTGGCAGCTGAATAGTGAATACTAGTATTGCAGGACATGGAGCATCTTCAGTATTTTCCAGAGCTGATCGATTTTTTATTTTATAATCATCAGTGTTGAGAACACTGCTTCACATGAATATGTAGCATAGAATGGCAGAAGTATGTTAGGGCCGTTTCAGAAATTTTTGGAAAATCTCTCCTAATCCCACTTTATGATACATTGAGCTTTTGTTGTTGTTGTTGCTTGTTGTTTTTGACAAGGTCTCCCTGTAGCCCCAGCTGGCTGGAACTTGCTCCATAGACCAGGCTGGCCTGGATCTCAGAGACCTGCCTACCTCTGCCTCCTGAGTGGTGGGATTAAAGGTGTGTGCCAATACTCCCAGCTCTATTTAACAATGTTTTATGAAACGAAAACATTCTAATCCAAAGATGGTTTTTTTATGTCCATGCTGAAGAATGATGGTAGAAAAATACTTTTTTAAGTCTTTGTTTTCTATAATTAGACCACTATGTTTCTGTAAAGAGAAAACTTTAATAAAGACACTGATTCATAACGTAAGGTCTTGATGACTATCGGAGCTAAGGTGGTTAAGGCAGCATTTGCTGACAGCATGTGCAGTGCAGAGTGCACATGTTCCATATTCAGAATTTTAGGCTGAAGCAAAGTCTTGGCAATAGCACACCCACCTGAGAGCATGATCAGAAACACCTCAGTCATTAACATTTGGTTTTGAATCAATTGGCCGTCATGCATTCAGAAACCTTTCTGTTGCCAAATCTTTTGATAGTCCCCGCGTTTAAACCTTCATATGAAACTGTGAGCCATAGTTTAAGAAACTGACACCCAAACACAAGAGTTATTAAATATAACCTTCTGTCTCTGGTTCTCAAAGTCTCAAGGACATCTCCTAATGAAAAATGTATCTCCAAGAATCTCAAGTCCCAACCGTTCCAACATTATTCAAAGTGTTCTAAGACTCAGGGTAGTCTCCTAACTGTGAATCCCTGTAAAATCAAAAAACAAATAATAGGGTCTGGAGATGGCTCGCAGTTAAGAGTACTGACTGCTCTTGAACAGTACCCAGGTTCAGATCCCAGCACCCACCTGGTGTCTAACAACCAACTGTAACTCCAGTTCTAGGGGATCTGGTATCCTTTTCTGCCCTCTGTGGGCATTGCACACATGGGTACACTTACATACATAACATACAAATAAATTTTAAATTTTTTTTTAATTAAAAGAAAATTATATGCTTTTCAATATATAGTGCCATAGGAGACTGTCACATTCCCAAAGAGAGGAATGCTGGCATAGCAAGGAAAGATTGGACCAGAGCAACACTGAAACCCATCTGGGCAAATACTAAACCCTGTGGCTCCCAGTCCAGCTTGTGGCACTCCTGGTGGCATCATCTGTGCTCCAGCTAACATGATTAGCTCCACCCTTCCAGCCTTGCCTGTGGCTCACGTGTGCTCCCTTGGGCCTGCTTCACTCAGTGCCAGCAGCGCTCCTTAGCAAATGCCCAGTGTTTGTGTCTCTGTTAGCTGGTGTTTCCATTTGCAGCTTAGACTTCACCCACTCAGGAATCCTGCATGGGTCTCCAGCCCTGCTGAGGCTGCATATTGCCTGGCTCAGTGGCTTTGGAACCTTGATGTAAGTGTCCTCGAGTCCTCCTTCCTCAGCATCTCTGCATGCTTGCAAAACCAGCATCTCCACTGCCAGCTCTAGGTGTAGCCCAGCCCTCTTGAACTCCAACTGCAGCAGCCTCTGCCTTTTAAGCTGAACCTTGGAAAAGATCTCTGGGCAGCCTCTTTCCAGCAGGGTATCCTGAAGGCTTATTTTTCCTTTAATGGCACTAGCCAAGCTCTCACCCCGTCTCCCTTTAACTGAGCTTCATAACTTTCATAACTTTGTTGTGTACCTCATTCCTCCCCCTCCTCTGCCAAGCAGTTAGTCCTTTTTTTTTTTTTTTTTGG